ATTCCTCAGATCTTATAATTAACACTGTGGGGGGAAGCGTCTCCCTGCAGTCGCTCATATCCTTTCAAGTTGCCTGCACCTGGCAAATCTAACCAAATGACTGAGAGCTGGTTTAGGCTATAAAATGCTACCGAGGCCATAAAAATAGCACAATATCACAGAAATAACAACATCACATTGTGTTTTTGCAGCTGATGGAGAATTTCAGTTTAATTACATGTGCGGATAATTTGATGTTACTGTGTCAAACCAAGTGGAGAAATGGTCAACACTCCGTGGACCATCATCACTAGTGTTGATACAAACCTGCATCACACCTACAGCTCATTTTATTTTCTCAAATTGTCTTCTTTGTAATTGTTTAATGATTTATCCTACAGGGACAAACAGGGAAAGATGCCGTAAATAGCACAGGAAGCTTAATGAGCCCCCAGGGGTTCAGTACCAGGTGGCTGATGCTGGACAGCTGCAGTCAGTGATCTGGACCTTCCATTACCTCAAACACTTCTCTGATGGGGGAGGATTAGAAGGAGAACACTGTTAAAAAGCAGTTGATAGTTTTTACAGGCTTCTCCAGTGCTGGTGTGTCATTAGGGGGGGTGGGGCTGAGGTGTAAACCTCACAGGGACACAGCGAATAGTTATAAATACAGACAGTGCCTCTGTTGTGACTGTAATTAACAGAGCCTCACTAGTTCAAGTGAAAGAGGAAGGAAACGACCAAAGCACCAGTGATGGTCTACATGTCTGGTGCCATGAGGATCATCAGGATCAGAGCCAAACTGCTGGTCAACCACTCAGCCCTGTACTGGAACAGGGCTGTAGGTCCTGTGTTAACAAATAAATCATGTGCTCACAGGCTTGGACATGAACATGTCCTTTCACCAGGCACAATCTTTATGTCACTATGGCCATGGATGGCACAGAGAAGATGTTGTGTTGTGTTAGACAGACTTCCTTTCTGCATGATCACAATGCACTACATCAGTAGTGTCTCAACTACAGTGTTTAGCAATGTTTCATGAATACCACACTACATGTACTCTAACCCAGACTTTGCAGGAACCAATAAACAGAACCAACCCTTCTCACCTTGTTCTGTCTTCCCAGTGAGGAGAGCTGTTCCTGATGCTGCTTCCCTTGTTCCCTAATCTTCCACACATGCATACCAGTGTCACTTGCACTAAAATGACCACACCAGTGTTTTAGCCTGTGTTTAGCTCAGCCCATTACTCAGTCAAGACATGTAGCCAGGTCTGCAGTATGTTTGCTTAACATACACAGAGTTTGCATAAGAGATCTGAAAGGTAAACACACATTTAGTCAGACAACTAATCAATTAGTTGATTGACAGCAATTATTCACATAAAGAAATAATCATTTAAGTCACTTAAGCAAAAATGCCAAAACAAATTGCTTGGTTCAGCTTTGAAAACATGAGGAAAGGATGCTTTTCTCTGTCATACATGACAGCAAACTCTGGTTTTAGACTATTTGTCGCACAAAACTAGAAATTTGGAGAGGTGATCTTGGGCTGTGGGAAATAATCAGAGGTACTGTTAACAATCTGCTTGATATTTTATAAACAAAACTGTTAATCGGGAGATTAACCAATGAAAATAATCATCAGCTGCAACCTTAAACTTAATCATCTGAAATGGTCACAAACTGATCAAGTGATCTCGCTGCACTGGCAAATGTTTCAACTGGTTTTAAGTAAAAGAGCATAGACGACCCCATCTCTGCAGTGAAAAACAAAACTGCAATTGTCATGTCATTATCCTCTAATTCCTGGCTGCCACATATAAGAGAACAACAACGTTCTCTACTGTGTTTGGCTTCATGTGGTGGTGTGTGTCTCTGTGTGTTGAGACAGAACTGAGCTGGAGTTCACAGTAAATCAGTAGAAGAGTATCCTCTTCTTTCTCTCTCCTCTCTCTCTCTCTCTCTCTCTCTCTCTCACACACACACACACACACACACACACATGGCATGCCTGCTTACATTCCTTCTGAAAGCTCAGCAGCCAATCGGCAACAACTATGCAAATGAGATGGGTGTGTCTTTTTAAAGCTGGAGTACAGGGTCTAAATGGAGAGTAGAATAGAATGAAATAGAATAGAATATGGACAGAGGATGCATTTGAAGAAAGCGAACACAAAGATCAGAACATCAGATGCAGGACAAAAAGTGTGTGCATAAGGGTGTGTCTGTGTGCATCAGTGGAGGCTGTGCAGCCTAAATACAGTATTTACATGGACTTGGTCCAAAAGTAGACTAGAACAGAATCAAACAGCAAACACAGTGAGCATGTTACAGCTTGAAGTTACTGCACTGTCCTACTATTAGATGTGTGTGTGTGTGTGTGTGTGTGTGTATGTACAGTACACTACGTGAACTACTGAGCCAGATATATTTAGTGTATAATGATTTAGAGCTGGACCAATCGGTCAATTAACTGCAAAATGACTGGATCAAGTCATTTTTCTACCCTTCTCCCAACATTGAACCCTTTATTAACACTGGATGGAATAACCATGTGAAGTGTTTGACTCTGTGGCTCCTCTCATCTCTGTGGAGCACTTGTTTTGGTCCCCACAGCACAGACACAGTGCCAGTTTTCAGCACAAATAAACCCACTGCCTGTACCCATCCAAAACCAAACAGCAGGTAAACATGGACAGTGACAACCTGGTGAGCACAGCAGAGCATTTAGCAGCTAAAGAGCCAAATATGTTCCTCAAGAGATCAAGCAAAATCTGCTGGATGTGTAATAAACAACTGTTCCCTAACAGGTTTGTCAAATCAGCCTCAAAGAAACAAATGTGACATGAGCTGCAGCAGCACAGAGCTACTGATGGGTGACGGCCGCTCCATCACTTCACTGATCACCACCGTGCCACTGCAGATT